AGGGCAGGGGGTTGGGGTGCAAGAGGGGTGCAAGGTGCAGGCAGGGGGCTTAGGGCAGGGAGTTGGGGGGTGAGGTACAGGAGGGGTTCGGGCTCCGGCCTGGTGCCGCTTACCTCAAGTGGCTCCAGGGTGGCAGCGGCGCACACCGGAGCCAGGGCAGGCTGCCTGCCTGCCCTGTCCCCGGCCCCGCGCCACTCCCGGAAGCACTGCGGCCCCTGGAGGAGGGGGGGTGGAGGCCCTGCGTGTGCTGCCCTTGCTGCGCTTCCAGGTACCTCCCTGGAAGCTCCCATTGGCCTCAGTTCCCCGTTCCCGGCCAATGGGAGCTGCAGGGGGTGGTGCCTGGAGGCAAGGGCAATGCATGGAGCCCTCTGCCCCCCTGCCCGGGGGCCGCAGAGACGTGGTGCCAACGGCACCGCGGGCCGGATCCAAAGCCCTGAGGGGCCATAGTTTGCCCACCCCTGGATTAGAATATATCACTGCCCCCTCCCAACATTGAAGCAAACAATGGCAAATATAAATATTTAAATGTGTAAAGAACTGGACAGTGTGTTAAACTCCAGTTTTTGTGGATTACTCTTCCTGCCTATTCTGTCTAATCCAGTAATTCCTGAATTGTGGTCTGTGGACCACCAGTGGCTGCAGAGCACTTCTTGGTGGTATATAGAGAGCTGGCTTGTCACGTGATGCTGGCTCTCCTATCTTGTTTCCAGCTGCTAAATCACATTGAAAGAAGCTAAAATTACATTAAATACTTCCTTATTACTACTTTTTTATGTAAGTAATTACTGTACTTGCTCCAGGAATGTTATGCCATAGCCAGTGGAAGGGGAGAAGGGTGGTCTGTGTAGTCATGAAAGGGGGAGTGGATGTATCTATCAAGAGATGGAAGAAAATTGGGAACCCCTGATGTTGTCTATGTAGAGCCTATACTGTGACTATCACTTCTAGGCAGTAGCTCTATCCAGTGTTTCAAGTCTTCATTAGCCATGTGAATTTTGTCAGATGCCACTGTACATTAGGTCATTACCTTTGCATAAAGCTGTATAACTTTAGAAAATGAGAAGTTGTGCTCCGGAATCCTGGAAAGGGGACTAGCTTGTTTGTCTGTGGTACAAAATGTTCTTTTCCTATTTCTTACATGCAGAGGGCAAAGGTAAGATCTTGGATCTCTGAGAGTTCTGTTCTACTTTCTGTAAAAAGAATCCACTAAAAATTGTCTTTGTCATTTATATAACAAGCTGTGTGTTTTCCAAATTTATTTACACTAGTTAATTTCACTGGGAAACCCAATATTATAATATCTAAAGTAGCTTAATAGTAGCTTAGTACACTAAAAAGGTTTGCATGACTTAATTATTTTTTCTCCCCACTTAAATTGGCATTCAGTTTGCTTAGCTGAGAGCAATGGTCCTGCTTAATCTAATCTGTCAATTGTTACTGCCTAGTTTGAAACTAGTAAAGTGCACTTTTGGACAGATTTATATGTGATATTAACAAAAAACTTATAGTCAAATCTGCCTCACTAAGGCCTGGTCTACACTACGACTTTAATTCGGATTTAGCTGCGTTAATCCGAATTAATCCTTAACCCGTCCACACAACGGAGCCAGTTACTTCGAATTAAAGGGCACTTAAAATCGATTTCTGTACTCCACCCCGACGAGCGGAGTAGCACCAAAATCGATTTTGTTAATTCGAATTAGGGGTAGTGTGGCCGCACACCACCGAATTAATGTGGTTAAAATTAATGGGGTAGTGTGGCCGCACACCACCGAATTAATGTGGTTAAAAACCGAATTAATGTGCTTAGTGTGGCCGCGCACAATCGAATTTATACAATCTGTTTCCCAAATTCGAATTATCTAAATTCGGATTAATCCTGTAGTGTAGACATACCCTGAGAGTAGAAATAGCAGGAAAGAATGGAAAGAAACAAGATTGTACAAATGATTATATTAAAAAAAAAAATTAAGAAAATAATTTGTTGCTGGCATTATATTGTCAAGGGTGTATTGCTTGTCTTTCTGGAGGCATTGAGAATTTAAAAAGCCTTCTTTCTGCCAGTATGTCATGTTTTTCTTCGAGTGATTGCTCCTGTGTATTCCACAGTAGGTGTGCGTGCTCGCCACGTGCACTGGTGCCGGAAGTTTTTCCCTTAGCAGTACCCGTAATGGGGGAGCACCGCGGCGACCCCTGGAGTGGCACCTGTATATCGTGCTATAAGGGGAGCCATGAGCTCCCCCCACCCTCAGTTCCTTCTTGCCGCCAGTGAAGGTAGTCAGAACTTTTGTGCTCCAGCTCTGCTGCAGCCCTTCTTCTCGACCTTAGTGGTACTGTTGTAGATCGTTCTTCAGTTGTTAGAGTGGGCTCAGGGCATGCCCCGTGCCCCAGGCTTCAAATCGTGCGACTTCTGTCGCCGTTCTATGCCCAGGAGCGACCCTCACGTTGAGTGTCTTCGCTGCCTGTGAGAGACTCACATCAGCAACCGTTGCAAGATCTGCAGGTCGTTCAAGCCAAGAACCAAGAAGAAGAGAGACTTCAGACTTCGAGCTCTCCTGATGGAGTCGGCGCTGACCCCGACACCGGTACGCAGATCGGACTCGGCGCCAGCCGCTGTGTCGTCGGTGCGTAGCGCAGCCCCTTCGACCAGTCGGCGCCGCTGTCCCTCCAAAAAGCAAGGGAAGGGCCCGGCCTCACAACGATGCCGAGATAAGGACAAGAGGGAGGCTGGTCCCGCACTGGGCAGCCCTCGATCCCCCCCCCCCGGGCTCAAAGGCTCCGACTCGTGTGGAGCGGAGCAGCCCGGTACCGTTGGCCCAGGCATCCCCACCAGTGCAGATGCCGTCGATGCCAGAGGCAGTGCAGGCTGTGAAGGACATTATGTCCCTGCCCGTCCCGAGCTCGCAATCAGGCACGGGCCCTAGGTTGCGAGGCAAGCCCCCTTTGGGTGCCCACCAGACCTCTCCGAGCAGCTGCAGTTCCCACTCCGAAGACAGATCCCTGCACGGCTCGGCGCACAGCGGCCGCTCTTCTGACAGCTCCCGGCCACCCTCGACACCAGCCAGACCATCCAGGTTGCCGTCGGGAAGGGAGTCACAGGGACCCTCTACGCCATCTGCCAGCGAGCGTAGGCACTGAGAGAGGCACCGGGAATGCTCACCTGCTAGACGTGGGTACCGGAGCTGCTCTCGACGGGACAGACATCGGTGCTCCTGTTCCAGCTTCCGCTCGTCTAGATGTCACGCCAGAGGCTCCCCTCGGGGTACCTTAGCATCAGAGCACCGGGCTTCGCGTCGCCATCACGTGTACCGAAGCAGTTCGTTGCGTGGGTACCGTTCATCGTCGTCGAGATCCCGGTCCCGAGGGAGACGACATCACATTCACCGCTCCTACCGCTCCCGCGGCACCGAGCGTTCTTCAGCCACCTCGGCCTCGGCACCCGGCCTCGGCGCGCGCGGTTCCGCCGGGACCCTGTGGCAAGGACAGTGGTGCCAGTGGGCACCGTGGCCATCAGTGCCAGCCCAAATGGAGACCCGTTCCAGTCGCCAGAGCGTCCCAGGCTCCATCGGCCTCCTCCGGCCGCCCATGGGACAAGTTGGCGGGTCACGAATCGGCGGACCCACGCCAGGACTCTGACCTCGGTCTTGACACCCCGGCACCGACCGAGGCCCGTGCGGGATGTCTCTCCGGCACCGGACAACACCATAGTGGCACCTCCGCCATCGGTACCGCAGGAGGACTTCAAGGCGCACCAGGACCTGCTAAAGCAGGTGGCTTCCAACCTCCAGCTACAGGCCGAGGAGATGGAGGGTCCGCCTGATTCCCTCTTTAAAGTCCCGTCTCCCTCGGCGCCAGGCCGCATGGCCCTGCCTCTGCACCAGGGTATTGCTAACATCTCTAACTCCCTGTGGCAAACTCCCGCCTCCTTGGCCCCAATCTCGAAAAAGGCCGAGAGGAAATACTTTGTGCCGGCGAAGGACCGTGAATACTTGTATTCCCACCCGGCACCCAACTCGCTCATTGTGGAATCGGTAAACCACAGAGAGCGTCAGGGCCAGCCCGTGCCCACCTCCAAAAACAGACGCCAGGAGACTGGACTTCTTTGGCAGAAAATTTTATTCGTTGGCTAGTTTCCAGCTTCGCGTAGCCAACCACCAGGCCTTACTGAGCAGGTACGACTTCAACCTGTGGGAGTCCCTGCCTAAATTTGAGCCCCTCCTCCCTGACCGGGACAGGAAGGACTTCAAGGCTCTGATAGAAGAGGGGTCGGTAGCGGCTAAAGCGGCCCTGCAAGCGGCGTCCGATGCTGCTGACCCGGAGGCCCGCTCGATGGCGTCCGCAATCACCATGCGCAGGGCGTCGTGGCTCCTGTTGTCCAGGC